ATGGGTGGATGTGAGCATTCAGAGAGACCAGAAAAGACAAAGAGATATAGTTAGCTTTCTAAACAATACAAAACACAACTTTGAAGAGTTATACACACACACACACAAAATTACCTCCATATTATCGACTTGTCTCACCAATTCCTTATGCCTCTCAGAACCAGCACTTTTAATCATATTCTTGAAATTCTGAAAATATAAAGTGAAGGAACTGAGACTGAAATTATGTCCCAGGACTGGAAAGAGGGTCTGAGTAGGTAAAAGAAACTTTACATGTGTTGATCACCCCTGGCAGGGGCTTAGGCAACACCTAAACTCTTGTTAAACTGTACTTTTGAGGAATTAAACAATGAATGATTCTGGCCCTGACCTCCCTGGAGTGATTGTCATCCAAACAGAGAAAATTCATTGAACTTTTTTCTGTCATGTAAGCACTAAATCAGTCAAGAATAATATGCCCCTCATGACAGGCTCAGCTTTGGGCAGCTTCAACTTGCTGGACTGTATTTACTAGGGGTGTGCAAAACAGGCCATATTAGATTTGGATTTGGATTCAGCCTGAATCAGGGACAGAGTCAATTCGTTGATTTGGATCACTGTCCCCGATTTGATTCGGCCGAATCCAAATCTGAAGATTCAATGCCGATTTGGAGAATCAGCAATTCAGCCATTGATGCAGCTTTAAATGTTTTTTCTACATACCTCGAGGTCCCAGGCACAGCTCATGAATGCTGCAATGGTGGGACAGATGGAGCGTCACACAGGAGCATGGGGGGCCTCCATGTTCTCAGCAGCAAACTTAGAAGTGGACTGGAAGTACTTCTGGTCCACTTCTGGGTCTGTCAGGGAGCACGCTGGGGGCTGCCCCCGTGCCCCTCCCAGTTCAGTGATCAGCTGTGAGGGGACCCCGGGTGCCCCCCCCCGACCCAGGAGGCACCAGTTGCCCAGCTGGGGAGGCGCAGGGTGGGCGGCCGGCCGTGTGCTCCCCATTAGACTCAGAGGTGGACTGGAAGTGCTTCTGGTCTACTTCTGGGTCTGCTGCTAAGCAAGCTGGGGAGCCCCCCATGCTCTTGTGGGACACTCCATCCATCCCAGCATCACAGTGTTGACGAGCCACCTGCTACCTCGAGGTATGTAGAAAAAACATGTATAGGTGTGTCTATGACCAAATCTTCGAATAAATTCGAAGGGTTCCAATTTGATTCGGAGAGACTAAAGGGTTTCCTGATTCGATTCGGATCCAGAGATTCAGCCACTGAATCAGGCTGAATCTCTGCTGAATCAAATCAGGGACCAAAGCTTCTCGCAGCCCTACTATTTACACTCTCCTTCATAAATGTTTTAGGTGGGCTCATTTTCCACTTGTATCTGCAGTTTGGGAAACAAAAGCCCTTTTAGGGGGTTCTAGACTTTTGAAAATTTTTAAACTCCTTGCATCCAGCAAGTTTTTAGATGAATGGGTCTGGACATATGAGTGGCTGGTTCAAACACAGGCCAAATTACTATCTCCCTAGAAGGCTTTTCCCTTCTAATGGTGTTCTAATTAGAAAAGAGTTGGTGGCCTCAATTTAGTCTCTGCTGGCCTGGTGTTTACAAAACCACCAGCCCCAACACAATTGATACTGAGTAGTAGTGGTCACCAAATGCCAGGAAAAATATATTTTCAAGTATATCATTTAATGGAAATAGTAAGATTTAGCCAATGCTTTTTAATCTGCTCTATGAAGTAGCCTTCTCTTTCAATTGAGGGGCAAATGACTGAAAGTCAGGTCCAAGGCTCACTGAAATCAAGGAGAATCTTTTTTTAAATCATGTCCTCATAGAACACAGAGATTAATTTTTCCTCTCATCTGTAGGTATGGTCCATCCAAGAGGAAGCTAATTACGCTGACAAGCTAGTAAGGGGAGGCTTACATTACTAAAGCAATGTTGCAATTGTAGTATTCTCTAGGAATGACATTGATTTCAAATGAATCATCACTTCATCCTAAACCTATCCAATCTGGCACTTTTGAACAATTTAACTCAGGTTGCTTATTTAGAAAAAAAACATTTGTGTCAAGACATCACTTTAGAAAACTTAATCGAAGGGAAAAAATAAAGGCATTGAAATTACAGATTACTTGAGTTTAGCTATTCGAAGGACTTTTCTATGAACTATACTCACTTGGTGATTTAAGATATATTTGAGAAACAGAGACCAATCATACATCCCAAGGCACTGTAACAGTATCATAAGTTTTAATGGATTCACTATGAGATCTTCCATATTTAGAAACTCATATTCAAAGAGCCTCTTGCAACGCAGGAATGTCAGCTCACGATGTTTCTCTTGGGTTATATCTTCTCCATGGTGATGAGCAAAGAGTGGATCATTTTCCAAAGCAGAGAAGATTCCATTCTTGATAGGGGAGAAAGATGAGAATAGACAAACTTAAAACCAGAGGGGTGAAATAATTAAGGAATCATGCTCATTTTCCTCTGTGGCTCAGTTAGGCTTCCTGTCACAGTAGTTTGTTCACCAAGGTTACTATCATAATAAAATCTAAAAAAGCCAAAAGGCAGAATTTAAAAATCGAAATGTACAATAAACAAATGTATCAAAATGCGTTATCACATAGAAAATATGAATGCGCTTTATGAGAGCTTCTGACTCATGAGGAGCTAAGTATACTGCTGCATCACTTTGAAAGATCCACCTGGCAACTTCTCAAAATTAAATCCCCACTGCACTGGATGACTCAACCTATCCTAGGAACACTGTTAAGTCTCCATTTCATTACCTTGTTGTTTTTTATAGTTGCTTTATTATTTTATATCTAAACTCATGGCAAGAGTCTAAATATAATTTCTTAGTTCTAGTCCTCATTTGGCCATCAATGTAGAGATTTAAGGGTAACCTTTAGTCAAAAGTGGATTCTTTAGCAGCTAGTAGTGGCTGAGTAATGCCACTCTTCTTCCAAGAAAAGCAGACACCTATTCTATCTTGCCCAACTACCATCTAAAGCCATCAGGGCTTAATCTTAGGTGACTGATGGTCTTACATGGAATGATTCTTCCCTAGTTGACTTATCATCCATGGAAGATTTTTAAAGAGGCTTTGTGGCCTGCAGCTATCTGAGATTACTTACAATAAAGTTTTATTTGTGAAATCTAGGAGAAATAGTGCCTTGGACTAAAGAGATGTCTTTCGCTAATCTCAATGGAAAGGGTCTCTGGTAGTGAGATGGTTCTTCCTATACTTCTCTGGCAATCAGCAACTATATTATGTTGTCAAATGAACAGTGGTGCTTGCCTGTACAGCTCTGCAGCTATTTAGCATACAGAAAGTTTGGGCATATATCTGTATGGAGCAAAGCAGCACTGTGTAGAGCAGTGGTTCTCAGTGTGTTACACTCAAGAAGTCCTTCACTAGAGTTGAGACACCCCTCCGAAAATGCCAGCTCTTAACTTCTACTATTTTCTTGACTGGGGGAAAAAAAGCAATTCTGCTGCCACAAAGAACTCAGAAAGAGCAGAACATGTCAGAATATTTTGGCACTACAGAGCCCTACTTGAAATCTCTGGGTTTATGATGTGAATCATGTGTAGGCTTCGTCATACCTAACAATGCTGTTAATGCTGTGTGGCAGCCCATGATACCCTTAAAAAGATCCTACAGCACCCTGATTGAGAATCACTGGTGTAGAAGAGCATTGAGCTAGTGTTGTGCATGCCAGCCCAGAAGCAGCGTAGCTCTATGAGGATAGTGTTGCTCCCCAGTTAATTAAGTAACTTTGCTCAGAAACAGGGCTTACCCACTGGGGTGCTGTGCTGAGGTAACACAAACATGCTGTTTTTAGTACTGAAGCTAACAGTTTCTGCCTGGCACTATACCCAACTGTATAAACATACCCTTTGTTTCTTTAGTATTTAACTAGCTAAGCCAGATGCACATCAAGGTACTTATCATTTCTGTGATCTACCTTCTAAAATGTGTATGTCTGAGAGACCCAGAGATACTTGTATCTGAGTATAGTCTTATGCAGGTACAAGAGCCTTCTCAATTTGCAGGACTGGAATCCTGGAAGTTAGTCTTTACTCGTCTTCCTACTATCCACCATTAGCAGGGAGACCAAACTCTTTATATTGGAGTAGTTCAGCTAAAGAAGTTTTGTTCACTATTAATTGGCCACGAAACAGTTCCCAACATCTGCCCAATCTTAGTTCAATGGACACTTTTCTTTCCAAAAGGTAACCTCACAGATGTTTAGAAAGAAGCAAATCTTTGCCAGTGTTTGCAAAGCTTACCTTATATTGGAGGAGTTCTTTTCCCTCTAAAAACACTGCCATCTCTTTCCAGTTGAAGGAAGCTTTCTTGCGGTACACACAAAGTGGTCCCTTAGCGAAATCTGGCAGCAAAATTTCCCCAGAGATTTGGGTACCACTAGCTTCCTTCAGGTCAGTGGTGGTTGCCATCTTCAAGCTAAGCACTTCTGCAGGGCAACAAGACAAATCTCCAATGAACTAAAATACTGCAGAGGCTTAATTTCTCACATATATTTCTAGTGGAGGATTAAAAAAAGAAGGAATTTATAGGGTTCTTAATTAAATCCATACAGAGCTGTTCAAAAGGCATGGAGACAGGCAAGGCAGATGCACCTGTTCAAACTGGTCTTACCTTTTTGTAATGTAATGAGTTTGGTACAAGTGAAACAACTGTCTTTGTGCCAATGCTTATGGTTTGTTCATCTTCTGTTATTAAAATGTGAGCAGAACATTTTCAAATAAGAAACATGCCTCCACTTCTATGTAATATTTCACATGACTAAAAGGGAGATTTAGATTTTAGAAGTCCAATAAAAAGTGCCATGTTTAAACAATATGTGAATAATTAATTGGCCTCACTTCCAAATGAAACTATGAAAATATCAATGGATTCATAAATACAAAAAGGCTTAAAATGAAGGAGGACATTATGTTTCCTCCCACTTAATGTTGAAATAACCTATATGCAAACAACATTTTTAGTTACTCACCCTTTACTCTTCCAAGTGATCAGTGGCACTGCAAATGCAAGAGTCATGCATAAACCAAAGGAAGAGAGAAGCAGTTTGGGGCACAGGCAGGAGCTCTAGCCTTATCTTCCACTAAAGTCATCTAGCCTCAAGTTGTTAGGGCACCCACACACCTCTGCATATTGCACATAGTTCATTACTATCTGCTTGTATGGCAGTGTGAGGGGGTGTGGGTGCATGTGTATGGGTGTGCATATGGGACTCACCCTACGAACCCACACCTACACACTCTGCCCCTCTCTACACACACCCCACCCTGGGGTACTGGCACGGCCCCATGATCCTGTGGTCCGGCGATGCAGCTGGGGGCCACATGGTGATGGAGCAGTGAAAGGACAGGAAGGCAAGAGAATGGCTGGGGGTGTTGTGGGGCTGGGCTCCTCACTTCTGCCAGCTCCCCTTCAGTCCTATTGCCCCTGGCTCCTGTCATCTTTGACAGGCAGCCAGGACCAAATGAATATTAAATATACTAAATTTTTAGGGGTCCCCACAGGCCAGATAGAATGGCCTGGCATGCTAAATCCAGCCCACAGGCCATATTTCACCCACCCCTGTAGTACAGGATCAGGCCTCTTCCACCCACCAGACATGGCAGATTTTCCCTTGCATTTTAATCAGGCCCATCTCTCAGACACACACACAAAACCCCTCTCACGTAAGTGAGACTAGCTGCTTTGGCTTTGGATAGAAGCTGAAATTATTTTTCTAAGATCATTGTTGATCCAGCAAATTGTGGGTTCAATTTTCACTAAATATCTATAGATATAAGTTGTTACTCTGGCTGTCTGAACCTGGGTCCAGATAACTGAATACAACAAAATGGAGTGATGACTTAGTTAAAGTTAAGAATACATTACTATTCAGAATCCTGCTTTTCCTTTTGCTCATAACTCTTTGCAGAAACCCCTCTTTGGGGCTGAAACTTCACATGTATTATTGAAGTTATGTTATTATGTTATTATGTTTATTTTGAAGAAAATGATAAAATTTCCCCTTTTCGTTACCAATCTATCAGCTCTCTGGTTCTATGTATATATAAAAGCATTTCCCAGCCGGAAAATAAACCTTTTCCCATACAAAAATTACTGTTTTATCATTTGTAATATATCTAGTAAATTATACTACATTATACTAATGCATCTAGAACATTTGGCTCAATAAAGAGGGTTTGTTACTAAGTCTGGTAGGCTAATATAGGTGTTAATGTTATTTTAACTAAGGTAACATACCCAGATGTGGAGGTAATGGACGCTGTTACAAATTCCTAAATAAATAAATATAAATACCTCTCCGTAGCTTACAGTTGTTTGATGAATCCTTTTCGCTCGCTACATAAATAAACTACAAATGGCAGTTGTATATATTGGCTAATGAATACACATTAGCATTTTGTTTGCAAACATGGACTTTGAGTATATGAGAAGTGTTTTGGACTATGAACAAAAGCGTTGAGTACAGACAGTGTCAAAAGTCCAGGGTCTGGATTTGAAACTCCACTTAAAGGTATACCGTTTGATTAATTCATTTGAAAATCATTTCTTTTAGAAGTAATATTTCCTTTATGGTGCTTATAACACAACCAGCATTGGAAGTCAGGTTGGGGGGAGGGGGGGAGGGGAACTTGGGGAGGCTATAGGCAACCAAAAATTAATTTTAACTCTCCCCATAACCACCCCTCCCAGCACTGCCCCTCCCCCTGGACCGCCACCACCTGCCCTGTGCAGCTGAGCCCACCCTGCTGTTGCCCACAGTGCAACCCACCCCACCCCACCAATTTTCTGTCTAGCCCACTTCAGGCCCCTCTCCCCCACTGGGAAGATCCTGGCACCACCCCTGAACACAACCAATGTGAAATCTCACTAATACCAGCCTTGTACAGCTGGACAGGTCTGTACAAACAAAGCTGTACAGGCAGTGCTCTGTACCTGATAAGCACTGCTCATTTTTTTTTTAAAAAGGACTACTTGCAGGTCAAGGACCATAGAATTCAATGTTCTTATAGGTAGAAATGTACCACTGAGTGTACTATAGACTCCTCAAGAGCATAATGAAGGAGAACATCTGGTGTTGCATACCTTCCTAGGTGCAGGACACTTGGCTTCCACAGCCAATCAACTCTATCTCCCTTCTTTTTGAGGTTACTGATGCCACTTGATGTACAAATCCCCGCTGCTGCAACTGCAGGTAGTGGGGGAACTAGGGAAAACCAGAGGGAAACACCACATAACCTTTGCTCCAGTTGTGCGTCCACAAATGATAAATTTCCTAACTTTTAAAATGTTAAGGGCATGCAGTAGGCCATGAGAGAGTAACAAAGGCAGATATGCTTTTGCTACAAGTTTCCATCTTTCTTCATTCCCTCAAAGATATTGCAGTACACAGATCTAATCTTTTTCTCTGTAGTGGTGAGGGTTAGAAAGTTAGCTGTCTTAAGGAAAAAAGCACACCATAGCCAAAATATCTTATGTTCTCAGAAAATCAATTTCATAGGTCCTTGAGGTGGTGTTTTTAGAAAAAAAAATTCTAAGTATAGTGAAACTCATGATAAAAATCATAAGTGTTATCAACACAGAGGTTGTGAGGTAGGACAGGACCCAAGGGTATATATTTTACTTTTCCAGAAGACAAAAAAGGCAATATATAGCTTCCAATGGGAGAGGAAACTCTCAGAAAGGGTATCACCTGTTTTGCAAATTTTTATGCATGTAAATATACACTGTAGCTCAGTCACATCATCACTATCAGATCATAGATTTAAAGAGACATCTAAAGCAAACTCTACATTTAAAATCATGTCCTATCTTCTTTTCTTTTCCATCTTCTGACCACTTAATTTTATGCTTTATCTAACAAAACTTTTTTTTTCATTCAGATTTTCCAGTTTCTTTGTCTTTTTCTGTATATTTTTTCTTCAAATGCACTGTTTCTTCAATGCCATTAATTCTCTGGGTTGGCCCCTCACCTATAACTTGGTGGCCAAGAAAAATAAGATTTGCATTAGGGATGAGAAAGGTTAAATGGTTAACCGATAAGTGCAGTGATAACCAGCTAGCTAGCTGGTTATCCTTTGGCTTGAGGTGGGGTAGTCTGGCAGGGAAGGGGAGAAGGGAAGCTGTGGGGTGCCCCAGCAGGAATCAGAAGGCTTCAGGGAAGGCAGCAGGGAGGGAGGAGTGTGAAGGAGGGAAGGAGAACTAGTACCCATAGCCCAAGAGGAAAACTGTGAGCAGCATACAGGAATTCTGGTTTTCTTAGCTAAAAAAATTCAAAATTCTCTGATTAAACCCCCCCAAATACATGTTTATCTGCAATTAAAATGAAACACCATTATATACACAGCTATCAGTTAAACACAATGTTTTATTGATATATTAAACATTTTTTAAGCAATTTGGAAGCTTGCCTCCCATGGTGTCATAGCTCAGGGTCCCAAACAAAGAGCACAGGTGTGCCTGGGGCACCAGGTGGATCATCATCATCAGGTATTAGTGGCTTGGGCACTCCTCAGCCTGCACAAAGAGCTGATCATGCATTGCCTGGGGCAAAGGCACCAGAGGCATGCTCGGGGCGTAGTGGCAGTGCAGGGGGAGCTGGCCCTGGGGCACCTTCCTAGAGAGGGCACCAGCAGGGTGAGTGGGGGTGCAGGCAGCCCCTCACCCTGGTTGTCCAGGAACCCTGTGCACCCTCAGCCCAGATGTTATAGGCTGGGTGACAGTACAGCAAAGTGGTTGACCTGGAGCTGCATTAGCATGTGCTGCCTGTAGCCTGTCTTGTCCTACCCTGGGAAGCAGGTAGGGGAGGCAGGCTGCCTGTGGCCAGCACCCAGCAGTCCACTGGCCCTAAGGGAGAAAGCGGAGATTGGGGGCTTGGCTGATAGCCACCTGGGCCCAGGCCTGCTGGCTGACTTACCAGTGCATGGCTGACCCCTTATCTGAGACTGGGCAGAGCATGATCCCTTGTGCCAAGCATCCTCTCTCTGAAATGTTGCAAACTATCACAAAAGGCTTCTGTCTCTTGCTTCTGCAATTCCAAGATCTGGACATGGGGGGACAGGGAGCCCACCAGTCCCAGTGGAGATGTGGGCTCTAGGTTGTCACCACACCATGCTGGAACTATCCGGATGTGCCAACAGTGCACTCTGGATAGGACTATTCTGCTCCAGCAGCTGGTGGAGGCAGTAGAGGAGTAGAAGATGTGGGTGCAGGCATGGGAGGTGGGCAAAAGATATCACCTGGGAGACCACCCAGGAGGAAGCGTGGAACCACTGGGCACAAATGGAGGCCCTAGAATGGGAGCACATGGAGCTGCTCCACCAGCAGGTTGCCATCAAGGCCCAGGCAGTGGAGGCCAAGGACACTGACTGCTGGGCCCTAGACACCTTCCTAGCCCTGGAGGTCACATCCATGCCCCCTATTCCCTGGCCCCCACCCATGGTCCTTCAGGGCTGCTGGGGCCTACCTGCCACCCCACATCAGGCCCTGACACGGGCCTGGGAGGAAGTCCTTTGGCACCTCCTGCTCACCAGACACACTGGCCCAGCCCCTAACCTGGACCTGTCCAGCCCCACTGCTCTCCTTTGCACCACATGCCTGAAGACCTAGTGTGCCACACAGGGATGCTGGGGCTACACTGAGGCAGTTGGAGGGGAAATCACCCGACTTCAGGGAGCATCATCCCAGATGGCAGTTGCATGAGGCCACCACCCACTGCAGTCGCTGTGGCCCCTGGACCTGAGGGAAAATGGCCTGTGGTTTTGGGCACCTGCCCCTGATTCTGCACCCCTCCCTCAATGGCCCCCCACCCTGGGCCCAAAAACCAGAGACACTGTAAAGAGTTTACACATTGTAAGTGGTAGGGTTGTATGAAGCTTCGCTGGCTGTTTCATTTTGAACTCAAAACAGTGAAATTGAAATGAAACAGAGGGCTTTGAAACAGCCTCAAAACAAAATGAGGGCAGATGAAACATTTGAAAGTTTCAAAATGTTTTGAGTTTTGAAGCTAAAGCTGAAGCTGAAGTTGGGCTTGCCTGCAGGGAAACAGAAAGTAAGGAGAGGGAGGGGAAAGAGGGGGGAAGGACTGCTCTCATATTGACTGTGTACTGCCATCCTTCCCTGAGGTCCCTTCCAATCCCAGTGCTCTGGGGGAGGGATGGAAAAACAGCATAAAAGGCAGTATTGTTTGAACTGCCCTGCTTTCTGCCTTGGTGTTGGTTACTGAGCTCTGTGCTCCAGCATCTCAGCAGCATCAGACAATGAAGGCTACTAGCACTGATCTTCTGAAGGCTTTCCCACTTGCTAGCCTAGCAAGAGGAATTTCAGAATAGCTTTCTGGATTTTTCTTTCTTCTACACGCTTTTATTTTATTATTTGATTTATTCTTTTCAATTCTATAATTATATTGGATAGGATTACTATAGAATTTAATTTATATAGGTAGGCAAATAGAAATGTATTTTATTTCTATATATTTATACTTTGCACCACACACGTTATTGAATTTATATAGGAGGAAAGACATATTATTCATTCATATTTGTTTTTACACACTTCTACTTTGTGCCACACTCACTCACATTATTGAATTTATATAGGAACGCAAATACACTTATATATTTGTAGAAAAGACAGACATGAAACACACCATGAAGCATGGTGGAAAGGCAGGCAGTGGCAAGCCTTCAGGGAGGGGTGAAAGAATTTATATAGGAGGAAAGACATATTATTCATTCATATTTGTTTTTACACACTTCTACTTTGTGCCACACTCACTCACATTATTGAATTTATATAGGAACGCAAATACACTTATATATTTGTAGAAAAGACAGACATGAAACACACCATGAAGCATGGTGGAAAGGCAGGCAGTGGCAAGCCTTCAGGGAGGGGTGAAAGAAGGGGTAGAGGGAGAGGTGTAGGTCCCCCCCACCCCAAACTGAGGCACAGCCTCTTTACTCCAGCTAGAAGGGATGAGACTTCCACAAGCAGCAAGGAGAGGGGAGCAGTGCCAGTGCCATTGCCTGTGCCTGAGACTGCATCCCCTCCAAAAGCACCAGCAATAACGCCACCCCACACCACGACAACAAGCAGCAGCACCAGCATGACAGCCTCCTCCACTCCCATTTTACATTTCATGTTGAGCCTTCCAATGCCAGAGGAAGAGCTGGAGCTGGATCTGAGTGCCCTAGCAAGGGAAATTCTAAGGAAGGAGGGGGAATCATCTGAGTTTGTGCTCCACATCTCTCAAGTTTCCCCTAAAGCCAGGTCTCCCTTCCCGAGAAGGCACTTCAAAGGAGTCTGAGTCCGCTTCTCCTGTTGCTGCTCCTCTGTCTGCTGAGGAGGGTGAAATTGTAGCACCCACACATGCACCTGTACCCCAGAAGTGAGTGGGTAGTGTGGTCTGGGATCATTTTGAGCTGGCAGAT